TAACACGCTCTTGATGTTACGCTCTGCACTTCTTCAAATAACTTCTAACACGCTCTTGATGTCACGTTCTGCACTTCTTCAAGTAACTTTAATACGCTCTTGATGTTACGCTTTTGTTGGAATTCTAGACCCTGTATGTTTTTCTGGTTCGCGCCCCTCCTCCCTGCCTCTCAAAATGGACCAAGATGAGAAAGATAGACAATTATTGAAATGAATGAACATGATAAGAGCATGATACGCAGACATGAGAACACTATGCCTATGCCTGTTTGTGCCTTGAGTCAGGGTGGCCGTTTACTCTTCAACGGAGAGATCTACGAGACCTCCAAAGCGACCCAAGGTGGCAGATGCACCCTACACACAGTGACAATTCTTGAATCCATTATTTTCCGCAACTGTCTCTGAAAACGAAAACAGGTCCATTCAAATGTGCTGCTGAATGGAGTTCAACGGATGGATGCTGCAAGTTGTGGTGCTTGGACGTTCTTGGCAGTTTTTAGCTAATTTGGTGCTCTTGTGGGTCTAGGACAGTCTGACAATCCGACAGGTCCGCTCTTGAGCAGCAGCGACACCTGTTGGCTTGCAGAGCAGCTGGCACTATGCGATGCCAAGAGGCAGAGCAGATCTTTGCAGTTTGGGCCTAAAATGGTCCACACATCAATCATAGGTAAAGAATGGCAGAGCTCTCTCTCAAGAGCAATTCAACATACTTTAATAATCTTTAATATACTGTAATTTAATGTTGTCTCTGAATCGCTCTTGAGGGTTTCCTAAGATATCATCCAAAGTTATACCATTTTAGTATTGAAACCTATGGTGACTTGGGGATCCTCCATTTTAGGAACCCTCCACATATGTACATATTGTATATATATATATATATTAGAGACAAATATGTACTGTACATATTGTACAGTATATATATATGATTATATGTGTGTATTACAAATAAATATGCAAATGCACACATAATGCATGTTGCAGACTTGAACTGGCAGCAAAGTCCTCCAAAAGCAGTTCTAAGTTCAGGAGCGAGCTCAAAAACTGATTCTGTTCAGTTCACTTTTCCTTTTTTTTTGTCCTGCGTTCAATTTCTCGTTGAACTTTGCAGTGGGGCCGGTTCCTTTGAACCTGTGGCTGTGGCCCTTCGGAGCATGCTGGAGACTGTGCATGGACCATTTGCCTTGGCGTTCTGGAGCCCAAAGTGTCAAGCGCAGCTTGGCCCAGAAACAGACCAGAAACAGCATTTTCAGCGGGATTTTGAAACTGATTTCTCCCACGAGTTGCACTGCATGGTTTGAAAGTTTCCTAAGCTAGACACATCAGACACTCTATCGAAGTTCCGAAGGTGATTTTGCTCTGGTACACGCTTGAAGGTGATTTATTTGTGTTTTGGCGATGCAACATGACTAAGCCGACTAAGCCTTCGTTCAGTTTTGTCTTTTGTCATCATTGTCATCTGTGAAGCTTTGACTGCTAAGTTGCGCTAAGTTTGGTGGTGCCTAGAACAAGAGCTGGACATAGCTGGACACTTGACAGATCTTGACAGCAAAACAGTGAGACTAATCTGAGACTAAGGCTCTTTGTTGCACGGGACCGTTTGGGCCGTCGTTCTCTGCTTGCAGCAAGAACTGCCTCTGGTGCCGGAGTCGCTTCTGTTGGTTCTGGAGCATGGCAGGAGACGCTTGACTCTTGACCAGGCTTGCTGACAGGACGAACTTCCTATGAAGACCTTAAGCAAACAAATACTTGTTGATACTTGCTGATATTCCTGGTCCTTGGATGCCCTTGGCAAAGACGACCCAAAAAATCTTCTTGGCTGGCTGCGCAATTAATGAAATTCGATTCAGTTTGACAGTTTTGACATACCGAGATTTGTCAAAGTATTGACATACCGAGTTTTGCCAGTTTTGACTGAAGGCTGCCAGTCGATGGCCTGTTTGTTTTCGACTTGGTGGGGCATGCAGTGCGACGCTTTCCCTGGCAAGAGCAAGCACCATTTGCACAGCCTTGGTCGGGACTCCTACTGTAGTTGTGGCAACTGACAACAACGGCTCAATTCCCAACTTTTGGATCCCTCACATTGCAAACTTGTGTGAGCAGCCATGCAACCGCTTCCTGAATTTGTATGGCTGATCATGTTTGAATTGAATTCAAAATCCCGAAATCAGCTTTCATTCGGATTTTGCTGCATCTTGTATCATTTTGTGCTCTTCAAGGTGGTGGGCACAGGACACTCAGAGCAGCAACGCAAGCAAAGAATTGCCGCTGGTCTTTGGGCAGTTGCTCACAGAAGCAGTAGCACGACGAGTGCAGCATGTTGCAGGTGCACCGCAGCACTTCATTGGGCATGGGTTTCTGGCGAACAGCTGGTGGAAGCAAAGGTAGAGCCCAGTAGAGCTCAGCCGAGCCCAGTAAAACAGATCATCAGGCTGAAGGGGAACGCATGAACCTACGTTAATATACAAGTATTGAAAAATTGAGCTTCTACCGCTGCGACCACTGCTACCAATACATCCAATACCAAGACTATATAAGACAGTATAAGACTATGGCATTGCAACAAACGGCACCAGGAATGGGAAAGCACACGTAGCCTTTCACGTGCATTTTTGCTGTATATTTTTTTTATCAGGAATTTCAGCAGAACTTGACCCAGGCATGCACCGGCAATCCTGGAACAGTACTATCTGGTTCTGGTCAGCTTCCCAAATCAAGGTCTATGGTAGATGATGAACATCAACGAACATATAATGAAGTATATAGTATATATATATAGTATATAGTATATATATATATATTAAGCATGTGGTATACATTAAGAACATAATGTAAGATAATGTAAGAACATAGTTCAAAAATAGTTCAAGAACATACCAATGGATGTTCTGTAGGAGCTGAGCCTTAGGTGGTGCAACCGGAGCGGCAGCGACGGTTGGTTTGCTCTTCTCTGGCGGCCTCGACTCAACGGTCCTGGCAGCTTTGGCAGCAGAGGCAAGATGTTGCACACTGGGTGCGGAAAACACTGGAATCACTGGAACACAATATCAATCGTAATTTATGATAATTTATGTATGCTGTTTAGACGGAATTCTTATGTCATATGTTATAACAGGATATAACAGGTCATGAAGCAACAGATCATGATAGCTGCGCGTTCTACTTTTTCAGGATGCTTATTGATTCCTTGCAGAGGAGCCGTTCCTGAAAGGGAAGCACATTCCGATGAAAATGGTCAAGTTACGTGGAGAATCTAGCACCGCTGGCCGGAAAATCGTCAAAAAAACTGGTTTAGTGTATGATACAGTATGCCATATGAATGGCCTCAGGGAGCACATCTTGAGTATTGCAACTTTTCAGTCATGAACCTCTGGGTACATCAAACACACTGCGACTTGCCACTCATAGACGAAGTCTTGCTGCAGTTGACAGGCCTTACCCAACGAGACCATCGAGTTGATCAACGTTCATTGGCTCAGATGCAGAAAGAGATGCAGTTTCTTTCAATGTTTCTTTATGTTCTCGTTTTTTAAATATTTTTTTTCCGCTTCGGTCATCATCCTGCCGTTTGCCGTTCGCGCTTCAAGTTCCTGTCATGCTCCTGTCATACTGTCAAAGTTTCAACGTCATTGCGTTGGAGGTGGCCTTCGATAGTCGAGCGCCTGACAGGCTCACCGCACTCTGCAGTTTCGAGGACTGCCATTGCTCAACCTGCATCAGCAAACGCCCTTCGTTATGTAAAAATCATTGATCATCATGACACATGATAATCAATTGATGTTTTATGCGATTTCCTTGGGTCAAAAAGCAAAACAGTCCATGCAGGTCACTCAGTCTGACGCAGTCTGCAAATGGATTCTGTGTCCCCTCAGCCTTACACTTCAGGATCTTCTGAGGCAGTACGGCCCAGAGCGCTTTCGTTTAGCAGGGGGCTTGGTTGACTTCGTTCGTGGTTCAGCTTCCCCTGCTTCAGACCTGCTCGGTGCTTGACGAGTGTTTTTTTGTTGAGATACATTTTGTCAAAATTTGAATTGCAACACTGTGACGCATACAACACATGTGCGTCTTCTAAATCTATGCAAATTACGGATTCTGCAGGGAGAAACACATCCAGCAGTCCGAGGGCAACAGTTTCGCAGAGGCCAACAAAACTGGTTGTGTAAACGTTGGTATGAAGGAGCCTCCTCTACAACACTTTTGCAAAATCTCGCAAACAACTCTTGTATAACACGCTTCCACTGCATCATTGTAGAATACTCCTTTGCAACACTCGTAGTGTGGAATGTACTCCTGGTGCATCCTGCTGCACTCTTCTGGAAGGCTGTTTTTCAAATCTCTTGCAGGACCCTCTTCTTCTTACAACACCCTCATCTTGCAACACCCTTCCAGAACGCATCTCAGCAACACCTTTCACACTACCCTCATTGAATGCTCTCACAGAACTTGCAAAAGAAGCATTACAACAGTCTTACACATCATTGCTCACTCTTGCAAACAACTTTTCTTCTGTAAGGGTATTTTTGTTGTAGAGTATTCTAGAGGTCGGAGAAGCCCCTCTTTCAGTTACAATGCAGAAAGCCCAAAGACAGAAAACCAAATGAATAGTGTCAGACGTGCCCCAAGCACCGCGTGTGCCACGGAAGCATGAGCCACTGATTGGAAGCAGCACGCCTGGACCCTTTCAAGGACACCTTTTATATCCTTTTATCATCATCTTTTATCCTTCTTGCATCTTTGTGCAGCATTGACATTGTTTAACGCAATGTGGAGATGCGGACAGAAAACGAGGCCTGAGACTCCCTGCATATCCCTCAATTGTATTTCAGGTTTTTTCCGGAATCTATTGATCGCTTCGTATTTGGAATGGAATCTGATGACTTCTAATGCAACGAGCCAAGGTGCTTTGTGATGTCTCCCAACAAGAAGTTCTGGAAGAAGAGATGTCCATTTGCCGGCTGCTGGGTCCCAAGGCTATGGATTGGGAAGTGGTGGCAGCGGTGGCATTTCAAGACTTCAAGCTAGCATGCAATCCATTAGTGTTCCGGTCATTTCCAGTCTATTTTTCCTATTTTGTGTGAAATTACGCCTGAAAGCAATGATGTGTGGCCATGAAACGCTGAAGCCTCTTCCAGTCAGTTTGTGAGTTTGCCAGCGTAACGTAGCTCCGAAGTGGCCCAGGTTGCTTTGCATTCGGCTGTCGTACTTACGACGTAAATATGTTTTGTCAAAGTCCACAATGAATATAATCATACCGGATCAAACTCACCGTTTCGTTTTGCTGATTTCCATCATGTGAACACAAGCGTCCACATTGTAGGGTAGATCATGAGCAGCGCACAGTAGAAGAACAATTAATAATCTAGATCCAATTGATCTAATCCAATCCAAATTGGATATTGCTAATGAGACGGTGGCCGTTTGGGTTCGGCGAAGTTTGCTTGGAAAGAAGGAAAGTGATGGAAAGTGCATGTTCAACACAGTGGGACAGCTGCCGTAGCTGTGGCATTTGCGTCTGCGGTCAGGCAACTCATTTGGACTTCAACATTGCAGCGGCCCTTTGGTTTGCTGCAAGAGGCAATGAGTCATATCTCTGCGTTACGTTGTCTCAAGGTGTCTCTGTTTTTTTTTGCAATAAATTCAATGTTGCCAATTGATGTGAATTCAGAGTGAATGCATGCAATGCTTTGCAGATCTTAACAACAAGAGGCAGCTTATGAGCGTTGTTTGGGGGTGCTATGGGGTGGTTTGGCTCGGACCATGAGCAAGTTGACACGAGACGACAAGAGCTAGAGTTGGCCAATGCAAAAAAGATCAGCAAAACTCAGCCTTAGCTCAGCTACAGTGCAGCTTAATAGAACCGGATAGAAATGCTTTGCTTTTTTCTTTCGAGAAAATCTCAAATTGCGAAGGTCACGGTTTGCCTTGCTCGCCTGACTTCATCAGAGCACCTTGGTGGACACCATCTGCTGCAGCCCCACTCCAACTGGAGACGCAAAAGCGACTAACCATCAGCCCAGGTCACACAGCCAGTTATGTTTTTGTTCATTGCGTAGTTTCAGTATTGCCTCTAAGATGCTTCTGCAAGGCTTGTGTGTGCTTTACTGAAATCCAAGTGTCTTCTTTCCAGCGCTACAATATCCAAAGCAAAGAGACCGTCTAAGAGACCCTTTGAACTCCTTTCTTGAAGCGTTTGATTTGTCGCTTCAGTTCTCATCTCATGAGATATTATATATATATACATATATATATATATTCATCGCCAATTTAGTGCGTGGATGGCATGTGCTTTTACAATCTTTTATTGTGTTTTGGCTGTGTTCTAGGCGTGTTTCTGTGTTTCGCTTCTTTAAAGGATCCCCAAGGGCACATTTTTTGAGCATGAAACGATGCAACGCATCGCAGGTCCCGCGGAGAAAGTGAGTTGTGCCAGCTGTGTGTTGCCAGCCAAGCCCGGCCACTTGCTCGGAGACGGAACGACACATTTGGGCAGAAGAAATCCCTGTCTATGCACAAACTAATAGACGTCACACAAGAAACCCACTGTCGAACCCTCTTAAACCTGTTTGAATCATTTGATCGCTGCTTGAGGTTGCCCTCATTTATCGTGCAAGCTTTGCTGCCGCAAGTTGCGGAAGGCCCCTTTCTGCAGATTTCAAGAGGGGAAGAAATGGCATTGCCAATCCCGGTGGATATCAAATAGATTCAAGTAGTAAAAAGTGGTACATATCCACAGTGAATCAGATAGAGACATCCAGCAGATGAAGCATACTGAAGCCAGTCCATCGGAATGAGGCTGCTGGCGAGCCAAGTGAATGGTGTCCTGTCCACAAGGTCAAGGTAGTTCCAGGCGTGAAGCAAAGTTTGCACGGTTTTCAAATGTTTTCAAAATTTTCAAGGTTTCTGACATTCTGAAACGGCTTTGCAGATATACTTGGATCATCTTGGATCAAGTAAAAAGGGCGGCTACATTGCACGTCCTTTTGTGGAGTTTGCCAACTTTTCCTTAGGGAGACGAGCGATGGGGGACTCGGTGGGGGAAGGCACCGAACAAACTCCAGAGCATGAGCAGGAGGCCAGTTACGGCCAGTTGTCATGACGAATGCGAGCCACCCGGGCCTGCCAGAGAACAAACATGCACAAACCAGTGATTTGTCGAGCGACACGAGTTTTTTTTTACAACTGAAACTCCCAGCTTCTCCGAACATCTCTTTCATGCGGTCTCAGCTGGTCAATTTCTCACCCTTCAGGAATGCGGAATGGATCTCAGTGCTGAACGTTGCGCTGGTCACGAGGTACAGTTCAAATGCGTTCAGCCGCCAACACTCAACTGCAGAGCTGGCAGAACATGACAATCTGTGGACCATCCTGGACCCTGGTTTCCAAGAGTTTGTTGATGAGACGTTTGGCAGGCTGCTGCGATGCGTGCAACTTGCAGGGTCTTATTGATTGGCACAGGCCACCAACCGCACACTCCACATTAGTCTAGAGTCTAGACATCAAACTGATTCTGGCAGGATTGTTACAATACATAAGCCTTTCTCTGTCAGCTATTGTGTGGCATGAGTTGTATCCACGAGGACAGACTATGGATGTGACTAAATGTGGCACATACTACAGTAGTACTAGCAGTATAAAGATGATCATTTTTGATCCTTTTTTTGCAGGTGCTGACGAGCTCCTGGGCGGATACAGCCGCCACCGCACGGCTCGCGCAAAACGGGGTGTGGAGGGCACGCGCAGTGAGATGCTGAAGGCGGATGTCGACACTGAAAGCGGAAGAGCCGAAGACTTTCTTTTTGTAGACTGTGACAGACTCGGTTTGAGATGTTTTGAGTCTAGAAAATGCTGCTTCAAATTAGATAAATATTGAATAATAGTGGTCTGATAGACGTAGATAGTATAGGGATGTGTAGTGTAGGACTCATTGCACGCACTGAAGAAAATGTGAACAATGCTGTAGCAAAATATAGCGGTGTACGCAAATGCCACTGCCCCAATTGCAGAATGCGCAAGTTCCACCAAGCGTAGGATCTTCAGCGCCTTTGGACACGAAATTTGGGCAGAGATGACCGCATCATTGCAGACCACGGCCGGGAAGCAAGGCGACGAAGGAAATTCAGGGCATTGCAGAAGCGTAAAGCAATTCAGTCTAGAACTGTCCAGAACATTACTGATTGAAACCATGGCAAAGCCAGTTGGGCTGTGGCCCAACTGCTTATGTCACATTTTGTGCTTATCCTGACTGATGCTGACCCTAGATTCATCACGGGTGATATCCTAAGATAGCCTATAGTATCTATAGTCAATAAACATCCTAAAACAATCTCTGCCGAGATCTCCGTAGGCATCCCTTTCTGGACGACCATCTGCTGGAGTTTGTGGGTCGGCTGTCCATCGAGCTGCTGGCCTATGGCCCTGGAGGCCGAGCACTGGACAAGCTCCTAAGACCTCCAGCAGATGACTCCTCCTTGAAGTATTTCATGATACATGTTATATAATTATATAACATTATATAACTGTCTAATATACAGTTATATATAATTATATTATAATTATATTATAATTATATTATAGTTATATTATAATTACATTATAATTATATTATAATTATATTATAATTATATAGTTATATAAATATATATATTATACAGTTATACACAGGTAAATATACACATATATGCCTGGTGTTTGCCGAGTATTTTATAGTATTTTCAATTTGTTTCCATGGTTTATCCTTTTGTTCCTTTCCTGAAACTGTTTTCTTCTGGTCCTCATCAACTGGACATCATCTAAGCATTTGGGCAGTCTCGGCAGCAAAACACTCCAGGCGAAGAAGCTGAAGAACTTGCTCCCGACAAATGGCTGCTGCGGGCACTGGCAGATCAGCGCGGTCTGCATGCTTGCGCGCTGCGACCTTGGGTCTACAATGCTCTGCACTCGCCACATCGAATTCTCGAATTCGGAAATGATACTGTATGATACTATATGCATGATTTGTTTTCACTGCTTGATCATGCTTTACACATGCTTACACGACTGTATATCAACTGTTCTGGACTTCGACATCTTTGCACGTTGAGAAACTGCGCTTGCACACGTAGCCCTATTGCATTTGATTGCCAAAATTGCCCAGGCAATTCAAGAAACGCGCCATCCAATTTGGCACTCGCATTGCGAAGCAGTCCAACGTGCAGCATGCTGGTAGCCTTTGCCTTGGTTCAAAGATGCTTTTGCCAACCGATTGTGTTTCTATCTGAAAGGCTGCAAATGTCCTCCACTTCATTCAAAAAGTACAAAAAGGATTGAGAAGTCTTTGACAAGCAAATTGACCTTGGCAAAGTCAAGTGCCGAGGCAATCGGCAGGTGCGAGGAGACATGGCCTACAGCGCGCTGTCGGAGAAAAGCACAGAACAGGAATTGCAGTTCTCAGAGGGAATTATTCAAAGGAATATCCTTTTCAAAGGACCCTCACTTGGCTCGCCCAGGCCTCCACAATGGGGAGTGGAGAGAGGGCCAGGGTGGCCAGCAGGCAGGGTTCTGGGCAATGGGCAAGTCCAGTTTGGGACTTTGATTTGTTCCGACATGTTCCGACTATTTCGGGTTTCTGGATGTTTCTGGCCGTCAAACATCGAGTGCTGGAACCGTGAGAAGTCACGACAAGAATGGCTGGGGGGCTTCTGGGCGAGGCCAGATGAGAGGTCCTCCAAACGCCTGGTGAGACACTCAGGGACGGGACATGACGGGACATGACGGGACATGACGGGACATCAGTTTAGATTGCTATGATTTTAATTATTTGGCATCCTGGTATGCATGGTTGGCCAGATTTTGTTGACTATGTCAGACTATGTAAGACCAAAAACATGAGCTGAACATTGCTGAACTATTGCAGGAAGAACCGGCATGTCCCTCGTGTAAGATCTTGTAAGGTGTCAGTAGGTATCAGGAAAAATTCAACCAACGAAGGTAAGATGGTGGATGTTTTTGGGCTCGACACCAT